CCGCGACTCCATCCGTGTGGTATTAAAAAAAAGAAAAGCAAGAATTCTAAACGTAAATAACATTACATGCGAATATTACGTTTGGTATTGTATTGCAATACTAGTATTAAATTCTGTTCTTTTCCGTTTTCGTATCATCAAGGAAAAAGTCGACAAATTGTAATTTCTCATAGAATAATGAAAGCTAATTATAATTATAAGTACCTTAGCGTGAATTTTTATGGCTATTAGTATACGATCTGCCTGTAATCCCGACGCCCACTCGGTGACCTATTACCGCTTCACATAAAATAATTAAAGAAAGTAATAAACGAAGTGGGCTACGAGCGGAGAGCAATAAGTGTACGATGACGTCATACCACATCTCTACAACACACCCCAGTTAAGACGCAGCCGACATCCCCTACAATCAATCAATATCTTAACGATGAGATCATATCTTAGAGGATATTCGAGGAAATGTAAGTAAGTATAAATAAAAATATTTGTTTGTATATTTGTACATATAAAAAAGGTATACGAACAAAATCGTAAAGATCTATTTAAAATTGTTTAACACTTAATATGAATTTGCGTATCTCTAGGATCAGACATTTCAGTAAAGAAGGCCGACGCCAAAGTTTTCGTGTAACGAAAGCTCGAACACTTGTTGCTTCAGTCTGGCGACTTTGAACTTTTATAATTCAAGTTATTATGTTTTGCTTACACAACCATGCGACTTATAAAGTTCCAAAGTATGACGTAGCTTGGGATTTATTTTAGTTCTTACTAAGAATATTGTTAAAAGAGGAAAGTAGATATCTCGAGAAACATATTTCAGTCATCATCATATGTCACCATCGAGGAACTTAGAGCCTGAATTTGTTTTGATTTATTTATTTATAATATTTTAATGATCTAGTAAAATTAATTACTTCTAATTATATTAATCTACCCTACGAATAGATTATCGTTATTTATTACGTAACTATTCTATTTTAAAACATCATTTCTGCATTTTAAATATAAATTCAATTAAAATTTTAAACGATACAAAGGTGGGGAATTAATCCTGCAATGCACGGACGTCGCTGGAGGGAGGGGGGGGCAGTGCAGTTCTAGAGAATAGAAAAATTGATATAAGAACCACTTCGCATAAGACAATGTTAAAACTAGATCCCCTATAAAATCGACCGGCGACAATTACGCTAAAAGGGCTACTGAAAAAATAGTGGGAAAACATACGATAGCGTGCTCAGACTCACTTGGGATTCTCAATTTGTTTACAAATGAATAAACACTAAATTTACAGTATCAGCTGTGTTGGCAGCTTGCTCGCTACTCACGATAAACAACTCTCCTCAACTACCCTCAAAATTGATACCCTACTTCACATTACTTTTAATTCTCACATATTTTATCAACTATTCTATTGTAAATACGTTTAAATGAAAACATTTGTCATGTTACAATGTTCTTGTGATTCTTTTCTTTGTTACATGTCAAATTTTCAATTTTTACACTGTCATCGTCAAAGTTTCATACTTAAAATTAACTAACAAGTGCTTTATAGGGTATCTTTACATATTAATTTCTCGTCTGCTATTACTAGCTATAGCTTATTATAATAGTATAATATTTACCTGCTTGTTCTTCCATCTTCGCGGCTGCCACAACACAAAATAAGCCGTCCAAATATCCACTAAACTCTAATTAAATTTAACTAAATTACGAACTAATATCACACGAAAGCAAAATTATATTTTACTAGTAAAAATCTATCACATTAATAAAAAAATTATTGTCTTTTGCTAATCGTCTTTTTTATCCCATTTGTTTTGTAGTGATTAATAAATGATATTATAATCACTTGAGTTTGACGCGGGTTCGGAAACGCGGCATTTGTGGATGCGGACGTGCGAAGCGTTTGACTGACAGACTTCGACTGGGAACTGGGACTGGTCGTGGTCGTGTCGTGGTCGCTGGTCGCTGGTCGTCCGTGCCCGCCGCCGGGCTAGGGCCACACTAATTATATCGATATTTGCGATGTCAATGACAAGTACAAACCGTACGACAATGAAGTCCGGCGAGCGATTCGTAAATAGTCCCTCCTTTCATATATATGACATGTTTAAATAACTGAACTTGGACTTACAAGTTATATCAAAGACATTTAGTAATACAATCTTCTAAAAGTCCTCCAACCTAAGATAGAATTCCTTTTAATTAAACATTAAGGTTTTTGTAACGCACTTAATTAGGCGCTACTTAGCATTTATTTGTTATATTATTAATTTTTTTAATCTAGCTAAATATCGGTACTTTATTTAATAATTGTTAAACATTCACCTAATTTTATTCTTATTAATTATATTCAAAGTGATAAGCGCGCAGAAACCGTGTCAATGCTGAAAAGTGAAACGAACGCAACTCTTTTATTCAAGTATTTCAGTAAAATGTAGAGGAATTTTACTAAAATTAGATTAAGGATTAGTTTACTCGTGTTATGTATCGAATAGACGACACTAACGAACAACGGTAATGTTAGTCTCGCGTGTCCAGTCACAACATTATCAACGATACTTGCTGATACAAAGGACGTACAAATCATATTTCGTAGAAAATTTTTATTCACATTTACAGGTAGCTTAAAGTGAAAATAAGTATCTTGTAGTAATATTATCTATGTTACTATACTAATAAATAGGTTATGTGTAAGCCATTAAGGATATAAGCAAACTTATGGTTCAATTTCCAGTGGGACATAAAGCCAAGGCCACACTATGCGGGCGGCGGCAGGCGGGGGCGCGAGCAAACACCCGGTGTGTACACGCCATTACCGCAGGTGAGAGGGCTGGGAGAGGCCGACCTTCTATTATTTACTAAGGGATACATTTGACTTGTGTACTATGTTGGATTGTCTTATTGATTAGTAATAAGGAGAAATTGGTTTCGTTTGCCTCATTCTATTATATTAATTTTTATGCAATAATTGCTAATTACTACATTTATTACATAATGAACTCATTTGTAGACTATTTTTTTTTTCGCTAAATCAATATATTGAACAAGCAAACACTAAACATAATAGACATGAATAGTTCAATTAAAAATAGTGACCTGCAGATCAGCTCACAGTTCGCGAGTCGGAAGCAGATCAATGAACCGGCTCACAGATCAGCTCTGAGCAGTCATGAGGTGCATATTTAGTTGTTGAACAGCAGCTCAAGTATGACCTGTTGAGCTGACACTGAGCTGATTTAACGTCTTAAATATAAGCAACAAAAATGAAACTTATAATTATTATTATAAAATATTACTTTAATCAAAGATATTGAGTATTCATTTGATTTTGGAAATACTCCAATACCTTGCCTATATGCATCGATGTACATAGTTATGTAGTTGTCCGAGGTCCGAGCACGCGATGGCAGCGTGCTCGCCACAATCAGTCGGCAGTCTTCAGGCTTCGCCATTCAAAGCTTTCTTCTTAATAGGGTTGTCATCGCTGTCTTATTGTTTTAGTAAACTCTTCTGACTATATTCGTTTAAAGAAAATGCTACACCGGTTAATAATAAATGTTTAAGTTGTTAATGTTTTAAGATTAACAAGAATATTCCGGCTCACGTCTTTCTTAAACCGCTTGCTTAGCTTAATGATTTTACAATTCGACAACCCTATGGATGTTGTACTTTGTCCCCATCTCCGAGGTGTCCCATGTCGCTGGCAACAAAAGTCCTTTGTCGACTCCAATCTTAGAATTCCCACAGTTTTCTTATGTTCTAAATATAGCTCTGCTTATCTGTCCTTCGTCGCAATGTTTCTTTCAATTATAGCGACCAATAAAAATATGTCACTACGGAAAAATACAACGGGGCTGTTGTTTTACGATAGTTATATTGTTATGGTAAAATTGGCCCGGTTTAGTGACGAAATTCATAGTTTTTCGACGTCAATAAACGTAAGTAATTGATTATTATACATTTATATATATTTTCCATTATTTAGGAAACACAGAGAACTTGATCTCGTTAATGCAAAAAAACAAAGTTCATCTATTAGTTTGTTTAATAATTACTTAAATATCTCATGTTATAAAATTTACGTAAAACAAAGTTATAATCAGCGTAATTAATTGCGTTATTTACTTTGGGCGAAGTAACGTTAGTTCGATGCTCCTATGATGACGGAGTGCAATCGGGGTCGGCGCACGGGTATCGCCAAATTGAACTGCGCTTCTAAATTATTATCAAATATTGTGGTAGGACCACACGAGACTCACGTGATGCTACGGAAGATGATAATGCCTAGATAATTGACAGAAGAATTTATGTAACTTAAATGTTAAGTATTCAAAAACCTACGATGCAGTAATTAAAACATATTTTTCTTAAGGTTTCTATCACGCTGCAAGTTTTATTGGAAATGTATGTTACTATTTAAATGCAATTCTGTCTACTATGTTCTAACTTTCTGGTCTGAATAATACGAAACGCGTAGACAATTTACAACGTTTGCAACTGCATTAAACAAATAAACATCAGGCGACGGGTAAATATTTAAATGATATTAATAACTTTAAATTAAGGCGGAAATACACACGCCAGTGACATGGTGTAGTCGCTGGAATGCCAGTTGCAAGCATGGTTAAATGCTTGTAAAATGTCAACAAGATCTACTCGACTAGAGGGGTACGAAACTCGACTTATGAGTCTCGACCTCCCTTACAACTAGCTAATTAAATATCGAGCATATTACGTTAGGGTTCACACAAGCCTGTAGCTGGTAAGTGCCAGAATCTGGCATTCAAGAACATGCTATTTGCATGCGTATTCCCAGCCTTATATTACATATCGTTCATGCATTTTAATATATTTACCAGAGATACGATACGGAGGAAAACTGAAAATTTTGTTTACTGAACACACCGTTTGATCCCTTCGCAAACTTTGAAGATATCTCGTGTATATATTAGTCGGTGTGCAAACTTTGCGAGCTATTGCCACCGCGACGTAATAATGTTAGTTAATTGTGGCAGATCATTGGAGGCACATATAGCTAGGACGTGGCTGGTGACGCTGACCCTCAGAGATGGTGACCACCAGGAGTGAGGCGCAGGCCTCCGGAGCCAGGGAGGAGATACCTCATGACCATCTGTTTAAAGTCACAGGGCTTTCATCTACGAATTTAGAAAAAATGGCGCAAGGTACGTTTTTTGTTTTAATTTAAAAAAAAATGGCATTGTTTTCATCTATTTACGTCTGCAAAGAATGAGATAAGAGTTATTTCACCGGTTTATTTTTTTTCATGACAGAAAACAAAGATAAAACGAGACATATCCTAGAAAAACAAGAAAAACGACTACTTCCTTATTTTTTTATTTTCCAAAAAATAAGGAATTAGTCGTTCGAACATACTGCATATTGAAAATACTTCGTTTAATAATTATTCTAGTTTTTATACAATTTTGATAACGTAGTCTTAGCTATGTCTATGAAACGAAATAGTTGTGTACTTAGTAATTGAATTGTCTGATAGATTTCTCTCCCATATTGTAGCCGTACAGTGACGTCACGCGGAGTCTGTGACGTCATGTATTTGTCCAGTCTAAGCTAGTATCGCTTCCTAGCACAATATACTGAATCAACTTGTCTGTCTTTTTGTGTACACTTTTAAGTAAGTAAATATATTAGCGGGAGCATTACAATGCAGTTTTACACAATACTAGCTGTCGTCCGCGACTCCAACTGCACGGAAATAAATTTCATTCTAAGATGAACTTGAACTTTAGCTTTAAAGAAACGAAAATTCTTATTTCGCGTGTTTTCCTCATTGAAGATATAAATTTGTTATTAATTTCCCCCATACGTTAATGTTTGAAACACAAAAACATCCTGAGGAAAATTTAGTTTTAAGAATAACAAATAGCAACCCGTATCTTTACCGTAGATAAAAATACTTTATAGTTAGTAAAGTATAAATCGAAAATTGTGATCAAAAGCAGAAGCATTAACTTTGGAATAAAATAGGATTTTGACTATGACCTACCCTTGATCATTGGCCTGCTAGATTACTGGCTAGCGACGCTTTTAAATCTGAGGATGAACCAACTAAAACCCAGCAGTTCTTGTTTGTCAATCACTGACCATTAAATGCGTCACAAATTTCTCTCGATCGTCCGATTTATTGCTCATTTTATACCAGAATCGAAGCGAAAACATTCCAAGAATAACGAGATGAAAACAAAATGCGTCTCAGCGCGGTCTGGTGTCGGCCACGCGAGGGTTTGGACCGTGGCCAATGCAGTCGATGTCATTCGGCCTACTCGAGAGTAGCGCGGTCTTCTCGGTATCTGGTCTTTTTAGTATTTCGTTATTCTTATTAATGCTTTGGGTTCGAAAACTGCAATAGCTATCGAAGGAGAAATACCAAGCAGTCAATTCAATGTTTATTGTTTCCTAATATTTGTTCTGATAAGTATAGTAACAATAATTTTGATGTTTTTAATTCGTTTTGTAAAAATTTATTATCCTAATGGAAAAACTGAAAAGTTGTCCTGTCGGTTTTATTCGTATTAGACCGGGTTTGTTAATCTGTAAGGAAACGGTACATCACTATTATAATTTAGCGTGTGTTTGTACCGCGCGGTATTTATAGTTGACGAAATGTGCGACCTTGTCTCCATTGTAAAACTGAGATGTACGCCGTTCGTAGGGAAAGTGCGTCAAAGCTTTTAATTGACTATGAACTCTAATTTATAGCCCGCTATTGCTGCGTCCCAATTATTTCACGAACCATTAAAAAATCTTAACGTTCCGTTTTACGCGAAATATAGATACAAGTACTTAAAATTGTTTTGTATTAAAAAAGTTTTCTTCTATTTTGTTAGAATTAGTGCTTGTTTTTGCCTCCACATAGCATTGCACACCGCACACCTGGATAGCTTTGTATATTTAGCTCGCTCCAGATAGTCTCAACATCTGCATTTAAGAGCCAATAAATATTTGACGATTCTTATAATTACCAGCACAAATAAAATAAAACGTTCATTTTGCTTCACACTTTACAATACCGCAGCTTTCAAACGATAATCTTTGGTAAAATTTATTTTTATTATTATTTTCTTTCAATGTTATTGCCCTTGTATCTATAAGTCTGTAAGCAGCTAAGGTCCAATTCCCTGAACATTCTTCTACACCCTCACTCTTCTCGAAGAATACTTTAGCTTATATTGGTTTAATAACGATATTTTAATGAATATCTTTATGAATAGCTTAAAAGCAACAGTGTTATACTATCTTATTTCATTGCGTGTCTTGCAGAGCCGGCGGCGGACTTTGAAACAGCAATAGCTGCGACAGGGTACGGCGGGTTCAACATCGCGCTACTGCTGTGTACGCTACCTGCCTTCTGGAGCGCCGTGTCCGTCACCAGCTCCGTGTCTTACATCTTCACACGCGCCCAGTGCGACATGAACCTTAGCCTGCTAGACATGGGCACTGTCAACGCTATCACCTACGGAGGTCAAGTCATTTTAGTTTAACTCCCCTGTTTGTTATCGTAGAATCTTTCCTAAATTTAATTGTTCCTGAAATCGAGTTCAGGCAAATACCAATGTCAAGTTTAACTTTTAGTTCAAAATAGGAAAATTAAAGTATTATTATTTTGCTTCACTTTGACGAACAAATAAAAGCGTGATTTTTTTCAGAGGTGCTTTAACCTGTTAATCTCTCTGAGTATCTAATGAAGTCTTAGCAAACCAAACACTCGGACACATTGGTGCGAATGTTTACTCTGCTTATCTGGCAGATGGTAGTACGAGTGACCGCGCGAATCCTCCGCACACAAACGGCAGATAGCGCGTTATTTGCCAATCTCACTGTGACGTAATTTGACAAAACCACCGAAATTTCGCACCATTTACATGTAGTAATTCTCATACATTGACTAAAACATAAAAAGCTAAAATAAAATATGTGTAACTTCCAATAGTGATAGGTACTATTCATTGTCTAGGCATGATATCGTCAGCGCTGGTGTGGGGCTTTCTGTCGGACACGCTGGGCCGCCGACAGATCCTGGCCTGGGGCTTCTTCTGCTCCGGACTCTTCGAGATCGCTGCCGCCATGAGCCAGAACTTCACCATGCTTTTAATAACGAGATTCGCTAGTGGATTCTTGTCAGTAACTATAATATTCAAACGTAGTAAAACTTTTAAATTTTCTTTGATGGAGAAGTCGTAAAAACCTAAGCATTAGCGATAGCGCCATCTAGCGAACAAATAACTTGACAATTTATTATGACTATCAGATTCAACGGTCCGTTTGCTGTGCTGATCTCCTACATAGCGGAGTTGCACCGCACGGAGCTGCGCGCGCGCGTCATCCTGCTAACCAGTCTGTTCTACACCATCGCCAACACCACGCTGCCGCTGCTCGCTTGGGCCATGCTTACACACACTTGGGACTTCTATCTCTTTGGCGGGAGATTCGGTCAGTACATTCTCATACCAATCTAACTATATTACACTCGTTAAGTATCTCTTTATGAGGCTAACACGCAGTATTGTTCGGCAGTAATCCATTCGTGGAATCTGTTCCTGCTGGCGACAGCGTTAGTGCCGTTGCTGACGGGGCTGGCCTTCCTCTGCCTGCCAGAGAGCCCCAAGTTCCTCATGTCGCGGGGCCGCAATGCTGAGGCCCTCGAGGTCTTTAGAAAGATATATAAGATGAACACAGGGAAATCTAAGGAACAATTTCCAGTAAGTTTTTACCCTATAATATTAGAATTATGTTAAATAGCCTTCCTGTCTTCTGACTTTTGTAAGTTTTTGTGATATAACTAAAGCAGCATGACTTCCAGGTGACACGACTAGTGGAGGAGAGATCACAAGAGCAGGGGCGCGGGGTGGCGGCGCTGCGGGGCGGGGCGGCTCAGTTGGCGCCCCTCTTTCGGCCCCCGCACGCACCCTGGCTGTTGCTTATGTGCGCCATACACATCGGTTGTATGTTCGGGTAAATAGTCTTCATTTACCAGCGTTAACTCTTCTTAGTTAAACGCTAGCGGTAATGAGCAAAGCAGACGATCTTTTACCACTTATTGCCTTCAGGTCCAATACCATCCGGCTGTGGTACCCGCAACTGGCAGCCATGATAGGGTCCGAGGAGAATGGCTCGCTGTGCTCGGCGCTGGCGCCAGCACCCGCGGACTCTGGGCCTTGCGCGCCATTGCAGCCCGACATGTTAACTTACCTGCAGAGCGCTATGGTCGGCGCGGGCTCCGTGCTCACCTACAGCATCGGCGGCGCTCTTGTCAACAGGTCTGAAAATGTTTGTCGCTTATGCAACTAATGTTTCACCACAATGTTATATTCCTATTTTCATCTAAAAAAAGCATTTTATCCTAACAAAATGAAATCTGGTCATCTTATACAACTGTATCCTTGTTGTATAAATGGTCTTCTGCTAGCTCAAAAGTCTTATCACTAGCTAATATAAACATCTGCCCAGATATAACAGCTTTGACACTCCAGATGCGGTAAGAAAGTGGTTGCTGGCCTGTGCGGCGTGGTGAGCGCGGGAATCATCGCATTACTACCGGTGCTGGGCTCGGGCGCTGCAGCGGTGGTTGCCATGGTCACCGCAGCGTTGTCCTTCACCGCCCTCTGCGGGGCCTCACTCTCCAGTATCAATGTCGATCTCTTTCCGACCTCATTAAGGTGAAGATATCATTTCAATATAAATAGATTTTCTTAGTAACTAGTATGCTCGTTGTTACTTCTTTTGATTTCACTATAGTATTGTCTTAAGAATATTATTATATTCTTATAAAAATATTGCATTACAGGGTAATGGCTATGGCTACATTCCTGATGAGCGGTCGCCTGGGCACGATAGCGGGAACAGTCATATTTCCCGCACTCATAGACTACGGCTGTCTGCCGCCATTTATCACAATAGCTGCGGTTTTAGCAGGTTAATATAAAATTTCGTAAACTATTCTAATAATCGATGGAAAATAAATTATTCCTAAATACTTTTTACTACTGTTTGAGAAAAGCGACATCTAGTAGTCAATAGTGATATCATTGAAACTTTTTTCTTTTTTATTTAGAATCTGTTATGTTTGGATAGATGGCGTTTATTTACACTTAAAATATGATCCGTTTTACAGTTTTAACTTTTTAATTCATCAGTCAATTCCAGTTATTGATGCCTCAATAATTATTTTATTCGATTCAACATGTTCTTTTCCTAAATCTAATAATAAATAATGAAGGATAGTTATAATAAAATCTGTCCACCAGATGGCGTATAGGAAAACGATTTTATTTGTGTTCTATTTTCAGCGTGCGGTTTTGGATGCTTCCTTGTCCCAAATACTACGCTCAAGAAACTGGAGTAAACGCAGAGCGACTACTATTCGAGTGTATTTAACAAAAACGTCAAGATAATATTGTTTGTAAATAATTTGTATAAATTAACATTTAAAAATATGTGTAATATAAGAAATTTGATTAAAATTAAATTGATAGGGTTAATGAAAACGACATATTTTTAAAAAATATTCTCTTCTTTATTGATAATTTATTTATAACCTAATCTCATCCATCTGTCATACACAACTTAACAATAAACCGGCGAATCTTGGAGAACGGTCGCTACCTACATTTATTCCAACATATTTTAGACTGCAGTTATTGTTTATTATTTTGTTATCTAGCGTCTTTTTAAGAAATAAAATAATTGTCTATGGTAACTTGTATATGAAATGTTTGCATAAAATTGTTTAAGCACATTTAAAACGGACAATATTTAGATAAATCATTGATATTTAGCAATTAGGTATTATTAAGTAGAAATCATTTTTACATATAAAGTTTTTAATTCATTCAAAATATATAAATCCAAAATATATATTAAAATACAATAAATATGAATATAGTAAACAAAGATATAACAAGTGGCTAATACAAAAATGAATGCAAAGATTATCTAATCTTGAATTTACAATTTCTTTTGTCATAATTTACTGAGGGTTATTATGAATATTTGTGAGAAAAATTGTATCGCGTACAGCGCCCCTACCGGCCGTAAAGTACACTAACAAATGTCCAAAGTTGACGTTACCAATATGTTCTGGCAAAAGTCACAATTCGTGATATACTCTCTGTTCTGAAGTTATACAATTAGTAAACAATATTATATGTTAACACTATGTTCTCGGATATGTTGTACAAAAGCGACTGTTCCCAATCATCTAACATAAATGCTATATATTTATACATCTTTTTTTACATAATTTTGAGGGATTTACAGATTTGACAGGTACTGTTTAGGTTTCTAGAATACGTGGAGCAGTTCAGTACGGCCGCTCCAAGACAAAGCTTGTTTACAAGGACTAGAACGATAATTTTTTATTGTCGACTCACTTTCTCTCCCTTAAATTCGAGCTTTCTTACATAATTGTATATACACTCACTCGTTAGCCCACACGTTCAGTGAAATTGACAAATACCCTAGAAAATGTTACATCGTATCCGCTAACGAATCCAACGCAAGGCACAGTTTGTTATCCGTTATCTATCTACAAATACATTGCACTATTTCCTTTAAAACATTGGCAGATCTTTCTCGAATTAAGAAAACTAATTATCAACTGTGAGTTGTCATTTAACTGCACACAATGCGTACACGCGATATTGTGTGAATTTGTACATAAAAATAGTTAATCTAATTCTTAAATTATATTATTAACAGTATTTCATAATTATAAATATGTAATTACAAATATTTATAGTACATATAACTTTATGTACACAGTCTCGCGTTTATATTAAAGCCGAGTTTAGTACACGATACATACATAGCTAGCATATGTGCGATCACTGAGCATGGCTGGACTTGGCTGTTGGCTGTTGGCTGTTGGCGGTATCAGGACAAGAACATACGAACCAAAGTAAAACTACAGTATCGGAAAAACATTTGAAAAGCTTTCAAATTGTGGCAAAGAAAGCTATTTTTTATTTTTCTGATGGCAAGCGAAATAATTTTATAAGTAACAATTTTAAAATAATTATCTAGAATACTTTGTCGGTTCGCGTCTATTCTATTTTGCATAGATGTTATTTTTTAAACAAGCGGATATCAAAAATACTCGACAACTAAATTGGCGAATCCAACTTGAGCGAGCATTTTGGATCTCCCTAAGTTTGCAATCAGTTGTTACTTAACTTTGTGCCCGACATTATGTGTGATGTTTTGTTTTAAAATTATTTTATTATTCAAGTTATAGGGAAATATTACAAGGCTTTTGGCGCACTTTTGCTTGTCTAATATATTCTAGCTGTATGTATGTGTATTTAAAACTTGTGACTAGCACACAGGACACGTGGCGTGCGTGTGCGCAACTCTAACCAACTTCATACAAATAACGGACATGAAAAATATACAATTTCGTTGTTTTGTTTCTGAGAAAATAATCATTACATACAAATGTACCAAATATTAAACAGAAAAATCCAACAACAGGTCCAAAACGAACGGACAGAAAGTTTCCCGAGAGTAAAGAAATCATCGAGAAACGTGAACGTAACACAATATTTAAGCTCTCATTGCGGACAAATCCGATTGGGTAAATAAAAAACACTGACAAAATAACAATTGTATTACGTTCACTTTCCCAAACACAATAATAAAGGTCCATAAAAGTCCATCCTGCAAGCACTTCACTACACTGCCCACCCATCTCTCGCCACCACGTAGTTCAATATCACATACTTTAATTGCTCGTTTTGCAAACAATAAATGCAGTATTTAACAAGAACCACAGCGCACTAAGCGTCCTCGGGTCAGCTGGGGGGCGCGAGCAGCACCTCCAGCCAGCAGGGGCAGGCGGTGACG